CTGAAAACCCATAAGGAAGATGTGGGATGGGCTCAATGAGCTCGGTGAACTCTGATAATGGACGTCGTCTCCTTTTAGTTGGTGACGAAACGCAGGAGGAGGGATGAGATCAAAGGGTCGGGGGAGAAGAAGGACTGGACGAGGATGATGAAGGAGAAGGCGGCACTTGAGAAGAGGATTGATGAGCTCAATGAGAAGAAAGCTGCCACGGGATACGACAGAGATAGGTGGGCAAATGTGATTGCTCTTTCTGGTTAGGAATGTTCTCCTTACAGATTTCGAGATCTACGTAACGAACTTGGGCGTTTGGAGGCACGGTTGGAGCGGCTCATTGAAGATAAGCAGAGGCTTTATTCGGAGGTCCGCAATAGGGTAGAATTCCAGTATGACTCTCCAGGAGGGTTTGACAGGTGAGGACTCTCTGTGCGCCTTGTTCGGTCACTGCATGGGGTAGGTCTAGAGTGAAGGGTGTGTGTGCCAAGCTATTTGATGTTAAGCAGGAGTATGCGGAATACGCGAGAGCTTTGGAAGTGGCAGCGGGTGAGCAAATCTGAGCCTATTTCCTATATGGGTGTAGGGACTTGTTGTCGTAGGGTCGAAGCTCTATCACATCTGTGTTGACGATCCTCAAACGGCTAAGATATTAATGTCAGATCCAAGCAGCAGGGTGAGTCGGGATAGATTTTCGAATGCTAGACTACTGTGTGCTCCTCCTTAGCAAATGAGAAGACGACAGAATTTCGTACCGCTGTCGAAAATCCAGACTAGAATTCCCACGCCCCAACAGATTTCTGGAGCGAGTAAGTTAGCAGTAGTTGTATAAGACAATGTGATGAACTTCCTCAGAGCGAGCAGCAGCTAGTGTGAATGGTGAATGTGTGCCGGCTCTTGATGCAGTAGACTGCCCGGAGTGCTACACCAAAGTCGTAGAGTAAGTGTCATGGTCACCATCTAGTGGGACACTGTGACAGGTACCTTTTTGGAGCTACTTTCTTATGCGATACGTCGGACACTGGGAAAGCTGTCACCTTCCACCCACAGGTTGGTTGGTGCGTGAACAGGATGATGAGAGAACCGTGGATATGTGACTTGTTGTCAAGCCAATTCCCATGAAGCTGACGATATAGGCATTTTGTGTCGCCCAAGTTTTGATCTCCTCGTGCGAGAGGAGGAAAGTGATCTGTTAGGTGAAGGCCAAGTCAGTGACTAAGGATGGAGATTCTTACGACCCCTCTGGCAGTCTTACAGGAGGAAGCAGCTCTAATGGCAACGACTACAGCGTATTGAGAACACTCTGTGTGAGTTCATGCCCTGTGATCAACGGCTAATGATCAAGGTTTATTTCTTAGGAGCACTTTGCTCGGTGCAGGGAGGAGAGGCAGTTGAATGGCGATATAGAGCAGCTAAATGTGGAGATTAGCAGGCATCAGAAGTCTAAGGGGGTGAGTGGTCGCTGACCGGCTCCTCGGAATCCTCGTAGTGGTTTCGTAGTAGGCATGGGAGAACATTGACCGAGAGCAGCGAGATTTGGATTCTCAGTTGGGCAGTGTTAGCTGCAGAATCACAAGTAAGCGTATCTTTCTAGTTTGTGGCGTGTGAGCCGCATTAGGTCATCCTTACCACACATTGCATCAAGAGATAGAGGAACTCAGTGTTCAGATTGAGGAGCATGAGAAATCTATAGAGGAGTTGGAGGTGGGGACAATAGTGATCAGGACTGAATAAGTTCTTGAGGAAGGAAGAATCGATTGTTGCCTCGTTACTGCGATTAGGGGAATTGCCGAAAATGTGGGGAAATATGCACATGGTCAACTACATGTGTTGGTGACAATACGAACATTCTCAGGAAATTTTGGGAAATTCTTATGGTTTTTGTACATTCCTACTCGAATACTATAATCAGTGGGAAAGCACTCGAGCTTAGCTGAAAAGCGAGAAAGTATTCCAACACTATTTGCCGATCTCAAATGTGACACGCATTACATGAGCTAGTTGGGATTGGTGTGGTAGGTGGAGAAGGAGCGGTTGGCAGCTGAGGTGGGCCGCCTGCAAGAGGAGGTAGCTAGCCTTGGAGGGAATCAGGAAGAGCAGATAAGGGTAAGTAGCCAGGCGTATTGACAGTCTATCCCTGTGAAATCGTTCCCCGGTTCGTCAATGCTCCCTAGCTCCCTTAAGTCGGTCGTATGTGACATGGTGCTGCATGAGGCAGTCGTGTTTCCATCGATAGAGCGGAGATTGTCTGGTGTCAGAAATTAAAGGAGGAAATAGAGCGAGTGAAAGCTGAGGAGAGCAGCCTCCGAGGGCAACAGGAGGCGCAAGCTGCGAAGGTTGGCGATATGGAGATGGAGAAGGAGTCCATTGAGCGGGTAGCCATCAACGTTAATATTCCACCCTTTCTGAAACGCATTTGACATGAGACTCTTCCGAAGCTGAAATCCAAGAGGTCAGCCACTCGATGGTGCTCGGTGCCTCTACTGAGGTGCAGCTACCATGGAAAACGTTCCTGTGCTCTTCTCTTAACGAGTTTCTTGATTTGCTGAGTTTTCCACTGACCGATTCTTTGAACTGTTGGGATTGCTGATGTAACATATGTTAGGATGTAGAAGCACTAGAGGCTAGCATCTCGGGTCAGGCATTGGAAGAGTTGCGGGGCGAGCTGGAAGGTCTACAGGTGAGCTCGTTGGGCACTGTTGTAGATGAGATACACTATATGTCTTAGGCGGCTCATGAACGTAGTAAGGAGAAACACCAAGCAATAGAGGACAAGTTGGCGGGCATGAACCAAAGTCGACAAGTATGTCTAAACTCCTTCCGGGCGATATTGACGTTGATTTGCTGCAGACTGTGCAAGATGATATTGACGCATTAGAGGCCAAGTTGGTGGAATTGAAAGAGTCTAAAGCAGCTGCCGAATCGGAAGTAGGTTTCCACTCCTGTGTATTGCTGAGGGCTGTGTGATGTTCGCTTGACGCTGCTTTGCTTCATGTGTTGTACTGTAGGTAAAGAGGCAGACGAAGAGCTTGTCAGAACTGCAAGCTGCACTCAACGCGACGGGCGATCGAGTGAGTCATGACTATCAAAGGCTTATGCTTGTTTGTACCTCTCGGTTTTCAGCTTGATAAGCTGGAGAGCGATCGGCCATGGATTAGTCGGGAGAAAGCGGGCTTTGGAGTCGACGGCTCAGAATGGGATTTCGACGCATCCGAGCTGGACTTGCGGCAGAGTCAAAAACAGTAGGGTCAGTCACCCTTGAACGTTTTCCCCATTTTTGTACCAGATTAGCGAAGTACGAGAAGGACCAGAAGGAGGCCGGTCGAGACCTCAACAAGAAAGCAGGTGAGTTGAGCCGTCAATGGTCAGTATCCTGGGCTGAGCTGTCCTCAGGCATGCAATATGAGCAATCTAAAGTTGCTGCACAGAAGCTTATAGCAGATAAGGAGACGACTCTGGCTGAAAAGCGCGAGATTGAGGTGACTGATAACAGCATACTCCGCGGACTTGTTCAGGACGGTGTTTTTGTCAGCGCTTCCGAGATAGTCTAGACGATCGGAAGAGTGAGGAATTGACTCGTACAGTGCAGCAGGTGAGTCGGCATTCCCCCTGGACGACTACCACCAGTATCATCATCAGTCTAGGTGAACAAATGGTTTGGTGGCATCTTCCGCTCCCTCTTGCCCAACGTTAATGCTAAGCTTTCTCCACCAGCGGGAATGACTCAGCTGGAAGGCCTCGAATTGAAAGTAGCTGACTAGAGGGCACTGATATGTATCGCAGGTCTTCGTAGGTCCAACTCGGCTCAGTGTGGAAGGAATCACTCACTGAGCTGAGTGGTGGTCAGAAGTCACTATTGGCTTTGTCGTTGGTGCTTGCTCTGCTCAAGTTCAATCCAGCTCCAATGTAGAAGTAATTTGTTTTTGTTATTATGGAAGGTCTCGGCAGGTATATTCTTGACGAAGTAGACGCAGCCCTCGATGTTAGTCATACGACGAACATTGGTCGAATGATCAAGGAGTACTTTCCCCAAGCTCAGTTCATCATAGTCAGCCTCAAGGACGGCATGTTTAATAACGCCAATGTCCTCTTCCGTACTCCGAATACTTTCTCGACGTACGGTAGCGTCGCCATTGTTCAGGAACTCGATTCGTTGATGGGACTTCGGCAGTATCTAGGACTGAGCTGAAGAATAACGGCAGCTCATCCACCTCGAGTTCTCCTGCTGGTCAGAATGCTAGAGGAAAGAAGCGAAGGGCCGCTGATGCACTACAAGACTAGAATTAATCGGCAGACGAATATTTTAAGTGCATTGATCTCAACACCAACGGTCTCGAGTTACCAGTGTGAAGTCGGAATGAATTTGAGCGTGGTTGTGGTGATTGAGCCTCTTCTGCCTTGCCGGGAGAGTCTCTCCTTATTCTTGATGAGAGTCTGCTTCACCAGATTTGCGCTGGATGAGAAGTATGATGAGACACGGCTGCGTTAATACTTGTCAATATGTACAGATGCGTTATCTCTCTAGCCCCTGCTGCGTTACGTATTAGTATTGCTGATAACTGAGTCGATATCATCATCAGGGTACTCCTATCTCAGTACGGTTATCAAGTTCACAATTGCCGTTTGTGTATTTGATAGAACTCGCATAGATTCGTACAGAGTATCGGTGACTATTATAGCCAGGCTATTGCCTATCCACTCGGGACGACCATTTGAAAGAGTCACTTCCAGCTCAAGTGATCCTGACGTTTTTCTCTGATTTTGGTATTTACGGGTTTTTCATGAGGCACACTCCTTCATTACCGATGCCCTCGGCCGGTGAGTACTCCAAAAAACCCAATTTCAACATTTTCGATCTCCTTCGCATGCGTCTATCGTGTGAATTTTTCTCGTATTATATTATATTTATATATCCATGTCTGTATTTGACATCAATATAAATAGTGGTATCATAACGTATGGTATTGCAACTTATTAATTCAATCTATTTATAAAAACTCTAGTGCTGTTGAGGCTAGCCAATCTGGTTAGGGTATAAGGTCTAGGAGTAAATCCTTCACATGTGAGCCTTGTTGGGAGTCAATTAAAGGGACATCGCGGCACTGGGGAAGACTTGTATTGTAGGGCCGTGAGATGATTGCAAAATCCCGGCTGGCTTTCATTTAGACGTTCTCCCCTCGAGAGCTCACGTTGCCCAGGATGTGTGGAATCTCGTACTCCTTCTTGGTTTTGAGTTCTCCTTTCTAAGATATGGTGACGTATAATCAACTCAACGAAGCGTGTAGACTCATGTCTACTTCCACTACAGAACAGCCGCTCACTGCAGCAGCTCTTTTAGCCAGACTTTGTGCGATCTCCATGAAGCCATTGCCTGACAATAAGCATCTTCTTACTGTCCTTGGTGAGTGTTGTCTCACTTGATATTCTTCGTTACGTGTGTCGTTTACCTAGGGCAAATCATTCTCTTCCCACGACGACCGATAACAGTCGACTGGGAGACTCTGATGGAAGCATCAGGAGTCCCTCATGATGCCGGTGGACTATTCAACCGCCTCACTCAAGTTGGTGTGACTCCGACCAGGGAGGCGTGGCGGGGCATTGCGATGCTCACGTGTCGGTTTATGACCCAGGCTTTTGGTAGCGACCTCGCCTTCGACTTCATCGGCGGTGCTAATGCTTGCTTTGTACTCGTACAGTCTGATCCAGAATCCTCAAACCTAGTAGCTATCTTTGGTAATCTTAAGACCCTGCCGCCTCCAGTCAAGCGTACGGCCTCTCCGC